TGTCGCGCTGCTGATGACGTCAGCGACGTGCTTTAATCGGGCGCGCTTTAGTGGACCGCGGTTTTGTCGTGCCACGGGGCCAGGGGAGGCTGTTTTTGCCCTCCTCAGGCTTCAGGAAAGCCTCCAGAGCCTGGACAGGGTCAAAATTCCCCCCTGCATGGAGGTCTCTCAAGCATGCGCAAGGGGTTAGGCACGCACGTGCCTGATAGCACACACGCACCCAGTTTTGGCACCCCCTTTAAAAAAAGATTAGCCATCACTGTCCTGTAGACAGAAGTACTGCCAAAGATTTAGGAGGTTTCCACTTATGCATATAGAATCTTTGACTTCCCTGAACATAAGCAGAATTTACCATTTAATGTTTCTTATCCAGAGAATTCTATTTCTTAGTTTTAATGAACCTTAAACAATTGTCTAGGTCTCAACTTCGGTCATTTGGGTTCTTGCTCCTGGGCCCCTCAAAACAAAGATCTCTTACTTGAAAACATATGCAGACCGTCCCCAGGTTAAGAATGAGTTCCAATCCTAACTCTCTTCAACTCAGATTTGTATGTAAGTTGGGACTTGTAAATACAAATGCAGTGCCAATTACTAAAAATGGTGGACGATGTTCTCTTCCCTCGAGCCAACAAATTACTCAATGTTTCCACGAACCACTGAAAACAGGCTGCATATTAAATATGCATGGCTTCAGCAGTTGGTAAAAACATTGCATAGTTCAGCAGTTCATTGGCTCAAGGAAGGACAAGAAAGAACAGCGCCATCCACCATTTTTAACAACAGACAGCCTGTCCGAGTAGGTAGGTAGGCAGTAAGTAGAAGCTGATTTCCTTAATCCGGGAAGTGTCTGTACCATAGAAACCCAGGCAAAATTCATAAGACTGAAAATCACAAAATTTCATCGCTCACGTTAGCCTGAAAATGGAATCAATCCTACTTCTTGAATGTGACCTCTTATATAAGTCATTTTCTTCTTTCCTGTTAGACGTTCTTCCTATTTCTGGCTCTGCAATGCCTTGGATGTGTACTGCCCAGTGCAGTGGGAATACGGACGCCTCAATCTCGTTTACACGGTGGTCTCGAAACGTAAAATCATCCGCCTGGTTGAGGCAGGGGCTGTCAGGTGAGAGGGAGGGTTTGATTGTGTTTGGGTGTGTTTTGGTGAGGGCAGAGTTCAGCAGAATTAAGAAGGTTCAGTCATTACATTTGTTGCTTGTTGGCATTCCAGGGACTGGGATGACCCAAGACTTTTTACTTTGACTGCTCTTCACCGCCGAGGCTTTCCACCGGAGGCGATCAACAACTTCTGTGCAAAGGTAAAGATCCTATGTTCAGCCAGTGGTCTGTCAGGTGTCTTAACTGTGGGCTGGGATATTAACACAGAGAGAGACCCTGATCTCAATCCTTACAGTTCACTTGTACATTGGCTTCATGAACTCAATTCATTTGCCTCTTGATTTAATGGACATTGTTTCAACCTGGATGATCGATCCCTAACTGCTTGATTGAGTTCTTGAAGACCCACAACTACGTCATCAGTGATAATATTTAGCATATTTGTCTTTTGTCGGCCCCTTCTTTAATTGACTTCTAGGAACCCAGTTGCACTGGGAAACAGTGGGAACAGCAGGATGCATTGAAAAATGTTCCTACTTTTAGATGTCACAAAAATGGATGGCATTGGAACGGGGGCGGGGGGGGGGGCAGGGAGGGCATTCTGTAATCTGATTTCTAGATTCTTCTTCAAGTAGCCAGTCTGAATTGAAGAGAAATTTCTTCTGATAATAGAACTGTGTGCCACTTCTGAGTGTCCTACTTGGAGAAGAAAAGAGGGAAGAGATGTCCATGCCCACATCCCCAGCTTATGACCTTCAACAAATTCTTTCTATAGACAGCCTTTTCCAACTAGCGCATGCCAGATCTTCTAGAACCATGATGGGGAACCTAAGGCACTTGTGCCACAGGTGGCACTCGGAGTGCAGGCATGCGAACCCTCACCCCAGCTCAGCTCCACTGCGCTCCTCCTGCCAGCCAGCTGATTTTCGGGTCTCTGCTATGCATGTGCAGGGGGTGGGGCACATGCGGGAGATGCGCACGCATAGGTGCTGGGGGGGGTCTCACACGCATGGGCAGGAGAGCGAGGTGGGGTAGTGCGTGTTGCCCCTGGGGCACTGTTTTTGGTTGACGGAGGCTTTAGGGAAGCCTGCTAGGCCCAAAACACCGTGTGTGCATTGTATTATGGGTGTGGGCACGCACACACAAACTTTTGGTATATGACAACAAAAAGATTAGCCATCACTGTTCTAGAATATTGTTTCTTCAACTATGGCCATCATAGCCAATGATACTAGGTTAGGAACAATTGTCCAAGGCAGTGTGATCCTAGAAAAAGGGAGGGAGGCAGAGAGAGAGGAAAAAAACAACACTCGCCTTAGAATTTGGAACTGATTAATACAGTTGAAAGTTACTAAGCAACCCCAAGGGGCAATTTTTCTTTCTTTCTTTCTCTATTCCACTTCTGTCAGCCTCAGTCATAAATGTTGACTCTCCAGACACTGAATCACATACTCGGGAACTTACTTCCAGCAGACAGATATGATATGATACAGACAGATTAGTTACTTTATTGCAGAGAAAATAAAAGCCATATCTACTTACAAATTCTCCCCACCCGAAGAGCTTGGAAATAAGGCTGTTTCGAGATACATCTGTTTCCATGACTAAATCCTAGGCCTTTTTCTCTCACTGTTTTAAAACAATGGGAATTTGGGCGTACCGTTTCCAGCTTGAAATCGGAGAACATCTGCTTTGGATTTTGTTCTGACCCAAGTTTCACAAAATCACGAAGCAGACTCTTGTCCCAACAAATCCCCTTTTTATTAAGCTAATGTGAATTCCTCTCATTCACATCCAGCAAAGTCCCAGTCCCAGCAAACAGTCTTTCAAGGGTGAATGTACAACCACAGACCTTATCAGGCTTGGAGAGCTGCTAGGCTGATATCTTCCAAACGCAATGCTGTACAAGAAAATTCTTGGCAAGGAGTCTCTGAGAATCACGAACAAATCTTCACACTAATTAAATGAACAAATTGTCTCCTGCAAACTCCCCTCCCCTTTCACTCCTCTTTATTCCCCTATGGGAGGGGCCTGTCTACCTGTGCCTTTACTCCTGAGTTGGCCCTTGTTCCTTAGCTGTTCTTTTCTCCTGGCAGCTCTGCACATGCACACATCAGGAACAGGCTCCAGCTGTTCTTCTGCCTCACTGATTTCCGCCTCTGAAGGCAGCTGATAACTGTCGGACGGCCCTGGCCCCCTCTCTGCCTCTGATGCAAAGCCCTCATCAGAGCCTTCCCCAGACTCCAGCACTGGCCCATGTCCCCCCCCTGCCTCTCACTGTCTGAGTCTGCCACCAGATCTGCTAGCTGCTGGCGGGCCACAGCAGATTTCTAAAAACAGTTTTGTCTGACACTGGATCTCTCCTTGTCCGCTTCAATCTTAATGTCCTCTTCCCAATTATCCTTAAGCAAGGGCAAAGGGAATACTCCACAGTAACACATGACAAGAACATGTTGCAAATGTAGCTCCTGGAAACCTCCTCCAAGCTGCTTGTTGGTACATTTCCTGAAGCTAACATAACACTCCTGAAGCTTCTTTGGCTGACTCCGCCTTCCCAACAGGTGGGTGTAACGGTTGCCCAGTGCACCACGGAGCCTCATATGCTGGAAGCTTGTGTACGGGAAGTGCTGAACGAACAGGCGCCTCGTGTCATGGCTGTCCTGGAACCACTACGAGTGACCATCACTAATTTTCCAGCACCACACAAAGTAAGCAAAAGTGATCCGATGGGGTGGGATGGCATGGACAAAATGAAAGATGCACCATCTATCCTGCTCGCCTCTTGGGTGGGGTGGGGGTTTAACCTTCATGGCTATGGAACTCACTGGAGTGCTTCTCTCTTCCTGCTAGAACATAATCATCCGTGTGCCCAATTTCCCTGCTGACGAGACCAAAGGCTTCCATGAAGTCCCCTTCCAGCCAACCCTCTACATTGAGCAAAGTGACTTCCGAGAGGTGAGCCCAATAGAAAGACACTACAAGTTATGGAAGAGGAGGATGTTTGTTTTTAATTTAGAATTGGGAACGGCGAGCTACGGCAAAATGGAAGGCATGTTCACCAGCTCAGCACCCATTACTTGGCTAGAAGTTGGATTTGATCAGTGGCTTACTTTGATCCTGCCCAAGTCCATATCTTATCCACTCCTGTTTTAAGAATGGCTCTTCACATGCCACCTGAAAGCTAAAAAAAAATGTGTATTTTAAATAGTCATCATTCACAGCTTATTCATAGCCTTTGAAGCGCTCTTCATGCAGGCATTCTTGGAGCTCCTATGGCCATGTTGGTGAACCTATGACATGCGTGCCGGAAGTGGCACATAGAGACATTTCACCTGGGACGTGTGGCCTCGCTGGCTCATGTTCCTGTGCATGCATGCACACCAGCCAGCTGGCCATCACACATGCACACGGCAGTACCCGAATGTCTGGGTTTCCATTGCATGCATGCGTGACAGCCAGCTGTTCGTCGGGCGTGCACCCATGCTGGAAACCAGAAGTTTGGGTGCCAATGTGCACATGTGCGCTGGAACACTGCTCTTCCAGGTTTTGGTGCTCTTGCGTGCACGAAGACAAGCAAGTCCGCGTTCCAAATGGGATGGTTCTGAATGCCATTTCCGGCACGCAGGTCGGCACACAGTAACATAAAGATTAGCTATCACTGTCCTAAGGACTCAAAGGAGAGACGACTCCACATAAATGCCCTCATCTGTGTGCTTTCATTTTACAAACCTTACCCTGTTTAAGCAGCAGAGCCTCAAAGGAATTTCAACTGAATTGAAAGGAATTTCGGCTGAATAAAAGTAGTGCTTCCCACATAACCACAGACACAGTTTTATATGAGGGACATGAGTAGAATTTTATTCTGATCTCAAAGACCGAAATGGTGTGTAAGGACGGGGATGCTTGGAGAATGCAGGGGGACAGTACTAGCACACACAGTCCCTTCTGCATTCTGAAGAACGTCTAAAAAGCCATAGATCTGCTGTTTGCCATCCCCTTTGTTGTTTCTTGCCTGATATTGTTACCTGGATAAGAGCCATGCCCGCACTGCGGATTAATTCATTTCTCCTTGATGAAACGTTGGCTCTTAAGATTTGCAGTGTACTTGGTTCTGGCCCTGGCGGGTTTCAGTTTTCAGATATTTGAAAGAGACTCGTGATTGTGTTTATGATGCCAGAACAACAAGATTATTATTTGAATGACAGGATCAAAGAGTTCTAAGAAGCCTTGTTGGACTGCTTCCTGCTTGACGCAAGGTTTTAGATCTGGAGCATCTTCAACAGATGGTTCTGCTTTTAAGTCTCCTGGGAAATCACTTCTATTGTCTAACTGCTCTGACTCAACTTATTCTCATATATATATATATATATATATTTGCCTTTTAGTGAGAAGTATACATATAACCACAACAAAAATAGCCACAATGGTTATATGTGCATATATGGTTATGCATATAACCACAACAACAAAAGCCTGCTGAATATACTGTAGCTTCTTTGGGTTTTCTTCTCCCAAAGTCATTCTAGACTAGATGTTTCAAACTCAAGAGTGCTTAGAACTGGCTCCTGGGGCTCTCTGTAAACAGCGAATGATCAACCTACAGTGCCTCTGACAGCGAAAATGGAGCTCGGTAGGGGCCAGCTGAAAATGGAGCTTGGGAGCCTGTTTTATCTGGAAGAGCGCTTGGGCCACAATGGGTGGCCCCGAAACAAGTGGCATCAAGCTGGCCATGCCCACCCTGGCCACATTTCCCCCCCCAACCCACTCACCACCCCTCCCCCCCCCGAGGTCAAACACAACTCTTTTGAGGCCCTCGTGCCACACTGTTAATGAGCTGCCAAATAAATTGGGGTCTTGCAGCCTGTTATTTTAAAAGTGGCTTGGCACCTACTTTATGGATGTGACTTTAGTATAAGAAAATATTTAAAAAGAGGCCTCCCCCATTTTCTCACTCCCTTCCCTTTTAGGCTTCTTTCTCTAGAAATCTCCCTCCCCCCATTCTTTCTAACTTCCATTCAAAAAGAAAAAAAACCACGATATCAATGCATCTGTCTACCTTTGAAACTGGAGACAACTGCATGCTGTATTAGCTGGAGTACAGACTTGTATAAATTCTTAATCATGCTAAGGGAACATCCAGTTATTCTGCCATCATATTAACCGTATTCACTTCCATCAGTTGCTATCAGAAATAACCACAGCTGGTGGTTGAACTGGTTAAACCAGTGATGGCGAACCTATGGCACGTTTGCCAGAGGTGGCACGCAGAGCCCTATCTGTGGGCAGGTATGCCATTGCCTGCAGCTTTTCTGGTTTCCAGCACATGCATGTGCACTGGCCAACTGATCTTCGCATGTGCCAGAGCCCCAGAAACCCAAAGACCAGCTGCCACATGCGCAAGTGTGTGCCGGAAACCCAAAGAACAGGTGGCCGGCACATGCATGCGCACCAGCCAGCTGGTCTTTTGAGTTTCCGGCACCCCGGAACGCATGTTCTGGTTTGGACACTCGGTGCCGAAAAAGTTCACCATCACATGGTTAAACCATCTTCTCTCCCCTGAGTAATTGAAGTGAACTGGGAGGCTTTCTTCTGGCCCAGGGATCTTCATTTGATCCTTGCTGATGTTCATATTTTCTCTCTGACAGGTTCCAGATAAAGGCTACAAGCGGTTAGCACTGGGCCAGCCAGTGGGTTTGAGGCACACTGGCTACGTCATTGCTGTTCAGAATATCATTAAGGTGAGTAGAGGTCACAGCATCTTCTAAGAGACCACCAGTTCCATTTCTATAGACTAGGACAGAGTGGTCAGTTTTTCCTGACCTGAAGGCCATTAATGGATCAGAGGGTGCATATAGCAATAGCAATAGCACTTAGACTTATATACTACTTCACAGTGCTTTACAGCCCTCTCTAAGTGGTTTATAGAGTCAGCCTATTGCCCCCTAACAATATGGGGCCCTCACTATATCCACCTTGGAAGGATGGAAGGATGAGTCAACCTTGAGCCTGGTGAGATTTGATCTGCCAAACTGCTGGCAGCCAGTGATCAGCAGAAGTAGCCTGCAGTACTGCACTCTAACCACTGCGCCACTGCGGCTCGTATCCATGTGAATGACATAAACTAAGCCTGGTTGCCTAATGTATGGGTTTCTGGATGCTTAGATGCTTTTTACAGGTAATTCTTGACCAATCGTTTAATGGCTGTTCAAAGTAATGATGGACCCCTTCCCCCAAAGGTAATTATGACCTTTTCCCCATCCCCACTCTTTTGGTCACATGACTACATTTTAGCTGCTGAATAACCAGCCTGCATTTACTGCCATTTGCAACATCCTGCTATTACATGATCCCAATTTACAATGTTTTTGCTGAAAACCAGCATTTACTTCCAGTTTTTGGCAAAACACCTCATAATGAATAATTAATTCTCTTAACGACCTTGGCGTTCACTTAATGATCACAAGTTAACAACCATGGTGATAGGTATCATGACTGCCACAAAAAAGCTTATCAAATCAGGTTGGTCACATTATGATCTACTTTATGACTGTCATCAGTTATGACCATAATGGGCACGTCTCCATTAAGGATTACCTGTATTGTTTGTCTAATTTAGATGCAAACTGTTTAGAATAATTCTAGAGTTGGGCAGCTTAAATCTGTGAAATAAATACATTTGTGCATACATTGGCACATTATTAATGCCCAACAATATTAATAATTAGAGTCAGTGAAAATTCCCGTTGTTGTACTAAAAGGAGAGTATTCATTTGCAGGGCTTGAGGGATTATTGAATAATGACAACTCTAGATGGTTACAATTCTGGAGAGGCTCCTCACTTGCGTTGTGTTCCGTGTTCCTTCCTTCAGCTGAATATTTTGCCTCTGAGTTTAAGAAAAAAGAAAACGGATGTTGCCACTGCTTTCTCAAATACATAAAAAGATCTTACATAATACATTATTATGTATTATGTACATAATAATGACACAGTGGCTCAGTGGCTAAGACGCTGAGCTTGTTAATCAGAAAGTTCGGTGGTTCGAATCCCTAGCCGCAATGTAACAGAATGAGCTCCCGTTACTTGTCCCAGCTTCTGCCTACATAGCAGCCAACCTAGCAGTTCGAAAGCATGTAAAAATGCAAGTGGAAAAATAGGGATCTTCGGCGTTTAGTCATGCCGGCCACATGACCTTGGAGATGTCTTCAGACAGCGCTGGCTCTTCAGCTGTGAAATGGAGATGAACACTGCCCCCTAGAGTCGGGAATGACTAGCACATATGTGCAAGGGGAACCTTTACCTTTTAATACATTATTTCAAGGAAAATAGTGGGGCTTTTTCGATGGTAACTGCAGTGTAATAAATGAAATACTGTTGAGGCCGAGTTTATAATTTCTGTAGAACATCCTCTTTTTACTCAGATATTCCTGATGTGATGATTGGGATTTAATGGTGGTGGTCCTAAATCTATTTCATTTGTTCTGTGTCAGAAAGGATGCTTCAAGTCAAGCAGTAATTTTTATGTGTGTCAGGTGACCTCAAAAGTAATTTGGGGGAAAATCCTGAAATTAGCCACCAGAGTTCTTTTTCTGCGATTCCAAAGAACAAAATGTTGCCTTGGGGAGAAATGTGGAATGAGGGGGAAATACAGATAGTCCTCCACTTATAACCACAATTGGCACTGAAATTTCCAAGATAAGGCGATGAGGACATAAGTCAAGATGGACCCGATTTTATGGCAATTTTTACAGTGATTCTTAAGTAAATCACCATGATATTAAGTGAATCATACAGTTGTTAAGTGATTTTTGCCGGAAATTATGGTAGCAAAAAAGGTTGTAAATGGTGATTACGCTATGTCAGGACACTGCAACCAATTGTAAATGTGAGCTAGTTGTCAAGTGCCCAAAATACAATTGTGTGACTACAGGGGTGGTGGTGTGACAGTCGTAAATGTGAGTTCAGGCCTTAGGCCGCTTTTTCCCAGCTGTAGTACATTTGAACGATTGTTAAAATGAATGAGTAAGGTGAAGACTACCCGTAACGACTTTTGCCAGATAGTAAAAGAAATACGGTAACAAGGAGAACGCCGAACGATAGATAAATGGCTGAATAAAGTCAAGAAATGTAACTTCTGCATCAGAGTAAAAACAGGCAGAGCTGAATGTAGCAAAGGCATAGGGCAGAGGTAGGGAATGATGACCTCTTCCTGACTTGTGGACTTCAACTCCCAGAATTTCTGAGCCAGCATAGCTGGCTCAGGAATTCTAAGAGTTGAAGACCACAAGTCATAAAAGGGACATTGTTTCTCACACTCACATACACACACCTGGCATAGGGGAAGAGAGATTGTGAAACAAGAATATCACAACTTCTGTATTTATGCCCAGGATACCAATGGACAGGTCAAAGAGGTAGAAGTGACTTGCACGAAGTCAGAAGCAGCAGAGAAGCCCAAGGCCTTTATCCACTGGGTGTCAGATCCTCTTGTGTGTGAGGTTCGCCAGTATGAGCAGCTGTGAGTATTACAGTAGAGGATTGTTAAATTGTTCTTTTTTTTGGGGGGGGGGGAGAGACATCATATTAGCCTCTTCCTTATGGTGTACAAATTCTATCTGAATTCTGCCCTTGAAGATTCTAATGACACAGCAGTTAACTTTTCTCTGTCTGAATTTGGGTCTTTCTCTTTCCCAAATTAACTACATATATTTCCCAGTTGTTCTCCAGAAGCTTAGGATTGTCACATAAAAAAAGTAGTTGCTTAGAAGTCTCTTCTTTTTTTAAAAAAAAAAAGTTTTATTTTTATTTATTTGTATATTGCCTTTATTATTTTTACAAATAAGATGGGTGAACATATCCAACACACATTCCTCCTCCTATTTTTTCCACAACAACCACCCTATGAGATGGGTTGGACTGAGAAAGAATGACTAGCCCAAAGTCACCCAGTTGGCTTTCATAGCTAAAGCGAACTCACAGTATCTTGGTTTCTAGCCTAATGCCTTCACCATTAAACTGACTCTCTTTTCCTAATTCCATACTAATAGTGATCTAACTTTTTGACTAACAGGTTCCTGCATAAGAATCCAGAAGACTCCACAGAAGTGCCAGGAGGGTTCCTGAGTGACATCAATCCTGTGAGTTCTGGGCCAAGAACAAATGTTAACACATGGGACTGGAATGGGCAGACTTAAATTAAAGCTAGATTGCTTTTCCTCAGTGCAAAGAAGATAATAAACTGCAATTAAGGAAGTATGATTTTTGTCATTCAAAAAGTAAAACATTGCAACAATTAAAAACAAGGGAATCTATGTTTGTAATAAACAAGATTCAAGTATAAAAGTAGAGATGAAAAGAGTTGATTAAAAAAAATAATACTCAAGAAAATTCGAAAGAATGCAGGCTCCAATTAGAAGAGAAGAAAAATTCAATTCAAATCTTACTGAGTGCCAGCAACCATTCTAGGAATATACCATAGAGTTTGGAAAGATTTATGAATTGGAGTGTGCTAATCAAAATGAGTCTGCTTGCTCCTACACCCGTCCTAATTTAAAGTGTATTTCTTATTTTTTTAATTAAAAAAATATTTTTAATTTTTAAAACAAACACAACACATCCTTCTTTACACACTATAGAAAGTGTATCAGTTGGTTACAAAAAGACTTTCGTGCATCTCTTCCACAGTCAACAAACATAATTCATATTAACTCAAGTATTTTAACTCAGATATTTATACATATTACCATCATCATACCTCCATTTTCATTTGACTATAATTATTTAAACGTCCTTCATCATAAAATATAGCAAGATTTTAATACATAACCACATACTGGCCTTTCATTTACTATTTCTAAAATCTTCCATTGACACTGAATCATTATGTCCTGTTCTAGCTAAACATCCATAATATTTAATGAGAAAATTTTCTAAT